ACCCAGTTGTCTGCTACAGTGAAGTCCTGCTACCTAAGCCTTTTAAGGTCTTGTTTTGCCCTGTTGGACTCTATCGTGTCTCGTTGAAGACGTATTAGTTTCTTTTTTTGTCAGGTTGTAATCATCTTCCTTTCACTTATCGAGTTGTCATAATTTGCTTATCGAGTTGTAAACTTGTTAAGGTTTTGTTTTGTTTATCAAGTTGTTTTATTATTAGTCAGTTCACTACCTGATTAGTGCAATTTGAATGTTTGGTTTTCAAAACAAAAGTTCAAACTCATTTACATTGTTGTTGTGTAAAATGATGCGATGCGATGCATAGAATATACAAATGAAACCCTTTTTCAACAAAATGTTGTTTTCATTCCATCATAGATTCTTTTTTTTACAAAAGAGCATGGTTTTAAAAAGTAAATCTGCCTGATGCAGTACAATGTGCAAAACTACTGGTAAAAAGGAAAACAAAGCAAAAAGAAGAGCAACGTCTGAATCAACAAAATGTCTGGATCGGTGCCAGTCGCCTCAAGACTGAGAAGTCCTCTTCGTCCTCTTCCTCGACCAAGAGGACTCTGGCACGTCGCCACCGTCAGCACCTGACTCTGAACTCGAGCCATTCCCAGCTCCATCTCCATCCTGAGACGACTCTAACCGCGGACTCACTGCCTCCTCGTCAGACTCAACATCATCTAGGGTAGGCCCCTGTGAACTAATCCCTCATCCTGTTCCCCCTGCTACTCGGGGAGGTGTTGAAGGACCCGCTCCCGCTCCTGCTGAGGCACCGGATGGGCGTGGTGTCAGGAAAGGAATCTGAAAAAGGGCAATCCACCAAAATGCATTAGCAATCAAGATGTATCAGATGCCAAGAATAATGTGCTGTGAGCAGCGAATGATTTGCAGTGAATGTGTACCGTGAGCGGTGTATAGGAGCAATGTATCAGATCGGTGTAGTGTGCAACTGTGCAAATGATGGCATGTCGAGAAAAGACTGTGTGGCATGAACTGTAGTTTGAAAGAACACACCAGAATAGTGTAAATACTAAGCAGGTCCATGCTCATCTGCAGCATCCCCATTACCGAAGCCGTCATCTCCAGAGACTAACGAGTGTACTCAATGGGAGCCTGCAAAAATGTTGAAGTCATTAGTATTCTGCAGGATATCAAATGAAATGACTGTGCAAAATGAACAGTATAGCACATACCGGGGTCGAGCTGTAAACTCCGACAAGCTCATGACCAGTTGGAGGAGGAGCGAAAGGAATCTAATAAGTCTCTCCAGCCCGCCCTCGGCATGTCATAGTAGCAGACAGTACGGGCCATGCAGTCCCCTGTCTCCCCTCAGGACCTCTCCTTCAATGAGACCTGGTCGCTACGCCTCTCCCTCTAGCGGTTGGAGCCCTCGCTCCCTCTCCTCCTCGGACACCAGTCAAAGGTGGCATCAGATGCGTCCGAATAAAGGCTGCGTAGTCGCCCTTTGCGCGAAAGTACTCTGTCTACAGTCCCACCATGAACTGAATCACCTGGTCGGTGGACAACCTGTAATAACCCGACCCTCGTACATGTGTTCTGATATATTTTGAGTCCCTTTATTCTGTGTCTTTAAATGCTTATTGTGAAAGTTCATGAGAAATTAATTTTAATTAAGTGAACCTTATAATTATAGATCCACATCTTTTTAATAAGAGAGCATATCTGTCACAATTATGATGTTCAGATCAGAAATTGGAAGCTTTAGAGGCTTAATTACCTGAAATTGATTCTACATCTGAGATCAGCATAATTTTTAAGTAATAATAAGCATTTTTGTAGAAATTCGATTAGGGATGATTAAACTGATTAAATTTTGTCTTTACTCCATTTTAGACATATATGTTTATATGCTTCATTTCTTTGACTTAAGAGCCATACAAAAACAATCTCCTGAGAGAGAGAGAAAAGAAAAGAGTGGAGGGGAAAAGGAAGTTCTCCAAGGATGGAATTGAAGAAATTTAGAGGGTTTGTAGAGAATTTAACCCAAGGTAAGTCTAAGCCTTATTGATTAATCCTCTTCTTTGAATTGAGAAAGAATTCCCTTATATTATGGTGTTCAATGGTTAATTAAATTGTTGTTTCTTGTGTTGAAATGAGTTGGAAGGATGTATTGAATGATCTAGTGAGGAATTTCATCTTATTACTTCAATTATTAAGCTTGAGTTACATGAATAAGGGTTGCATGTGTGTGAGTGTGTGTGTGAAGAAGTTGAAATCTTATGTAATTGAGTTTTGTTATAAGCTTTAGTAATTAAAGATTTGAATCATAGTTAAATTGTCGTGTGTTTGTAACTTTGTACATGATCTTTGAACCATATTTCATCAATTAAAAGATCTATTTTAAGCCTTAAGAATACTTACCAAAACTTGAGTTTTGCTGAAATTTCGAACTGCAATCTGTCCAGATCACCGCACGTGCGGGGCTCACAGCCGCACGTGCGGCCCAAGCTGGAAAAAATGTTTTGCTCCGTTTCGCGTGCTCGACCCTCTGATATTTTTAAAATATTTTTCTGATGATCTTAGGATGGCAGTAAATTCATTCGAATCGTAATGAGTCAGGAAGTAATTTGACAAGGAAAAAGGGAAGTTAATTTGTGAACTTTGTATGTGTGTAGGACACGCTTCAGGGTGGGGAGTAGCGCTCCGCCACAACACTGTGAGTAGTAGTACTGTAATCGTACGTTACTTATCGTTAACCATTCTATTCTTAACGTTTTGATTTACATAAGCAATTACGTTAAAGTTTACGTTGTTTGAAGATCGGTGAGAACATTGAAAGATTATGTGTACCTTGGTATGACTCTGGAACTCTGCATTTTGATTATGGTTAATGGTATTTATTAATATGCTATAGTCTGTAAATTACCTAAGACTCCGCACAAGAAGTATTAATACTATGCAAGTAGTTAACGAGAAGAAATTATGACTATAAACTCCGCTTAATGGAGATATGATATTTGAACGTTTTATCAGGAACTCTTATAATCTTATTTGGTTCGACACATGTTTCATGACATAGACATTTGCTTAGAAAGGAACGAAATGAAAATCAGATAGAACCATGGGTTACCTTAAATATCAAGAATTGAGTATTAATGATATGGATTCACCTTACAGTATGAATATGAGAGCATACTATTTTGTTACGAAGAGACCTGAAGTCGTTTAGCATCTACGACATGAATGTAAAGGTTTATCATCATTATGTAAAAAGTATATTGCTCTGCCTCTGTTAAGCATACTGTGATATGATGATAACGATATAACAAGAAATGCTTTATTTTCTGATATGTGATGTTTTGAACCAGTAAATGACTGTCCTTATATATCAAGTATTTAGTACATCATTAGCACAAGGCCCTTGCCCGGGGGTAATAATACCGTGGTTCAAGTATTATTGAAAGTCCCTTTGCGGAATTAAAAGGTATGCTCTATATTGACTTATTATTGCTATTGAATGTACCATATATAGTCAAGCATAAATTCTGATTTCTGTTACGATTCAAGCATAATTAAGAACATGTATGACCTTGTTTCTGTTTATCCGTTCTGTTTATGTTATGCTCTGACATGATATGAATGGTTTGGTCTGTTAGACCTATTTTGGGTGTGGAACAACGTGCTGTACGGAACTAAGTGCTACGATGTGAGCCACCTCTAGAATCCGTGCGAGCCACCTCTTGAGTCCATACATACATGAACTAGGCTTAAAGCCAATCTGGGCCAGGGGCCATTCTGTATTTCTAATATGGAACAAAGTGTTGTACGAAACTAAGTGCTGCAAAGGGAGCCACCTCTAGAATTCGTACGAGTCACCTATTGAATCCATACATGTGTGAAAGTTATAAGGCCTATGGCCATTCCGTATAAGTTGTTATGATATGAAACAAAGTGCTATGCGGAACTAAGTGCTACGATGTGAGTCACCTCTAGAATCCGCGTGAGACACCTCTTGAATTCATACAAGTATTTTCAAGGGCTTTAATGCCAATATGTTTACAAGGGCTTCATGCCATTTTCAAGGGCTTTAATGCCAATATGTTACAAGGGCTTCATGCCATTTTCAAGGGTTTTATGCCACTTTCAAGGGCCTTAGTGCCATATGTTACAAGGGCATTATGCCACAAGTTACAAGGGCCTCGTGCCACACGTTTCAAGGGCCTCATGCCACCATGTTTCAAAGGCTTTATAGCCATTATGTTTATGTTGCAGGATTGGGCCTAAGGCCGTCATGTACTTTACACAGATTCAGACTAACTATGTGAACTCTGCACCTTTTTATTTATTGATATGAATTATGTTTCAAGTTATGTATTGGTTTATTTATGTATTACTATTCACTGAGCCCGGCTCACCCTCTGTTATGTCTGTTTCTGTAGGTCACCAATCAGGCGGTTAGTCCTAGCCAAGACGCCGCTTCCTTTTGTCAACCTTCATATGTTCAGGCACTGTTTAAGTCATTTAATTTCTTAAGTTGTCAAGATGTTGGTTTTCTTATGAGTGTCCATCTAAGGTTGTTGTATATACCTTTCATGTTTGTTTTTGTATACGCCCGACTTTAGGGCTGGAACTGTAAATGTGTATGTACATACTCTGGGATATAGTTTGGAACTTTATTTATCCAGTATAATGCATGTGATGAATGAGATCCTGGCATGTAGGAGTAGCTCAATGGAGTTTAATTGTTCATTATTATTTATCTATTTATTTTTGTGCTTCCGATAAGGCCCCGTATGTTATATTACCAGGTTACATGTCCGTCTCTAAAGAGGTCATGCCCAAACTTTTAGGGGCGGGTTTGGGGTGTGACACAACCTGTGTGTCTCCCTCATCGATGGTGGAGGTGCCATCGGTACAAATGGAGCAGGCAACCCCAAGGTCTGATGCACAAAGCGCTCACTTAGAAACCAGGCGCGGCAGATCAGCCCCTCGAAGAGGATGTGGTAGTGAGACATAGTCCGGGCAGTGTGGTACTAATCTCGGAGTCCTGACGGGATCGCATCCCATGGCTGCCACGTGATCTGAGAAAAGAGAATAAATAAGATGATCAGTTGTCAAATAACTAAAGTGGGTGCATTCGGTTAATTGAACTAATCTTATTACAGACTTACCTCGCGCGCCGTGACCATGTCAAAATACTGTCGGAAGAATATGAAGCTCTCTTGGGTCCTACGACGGAGCTGACTGTCGTATACGTCAGAGAATGGGACCGTCGTTGCAGTCTCCTCCACAGGCTCAAGTGCAAGTGCCGGGAAGTATGCGTATACCCACAGCTGTTAGAAAGATGCGACCAGTACAGTGTAAGAACAGATTGTTGAAAATGCAGAATGCAGAAAGCAGAAAGCAGAACACAGTACAATGCGTAACAGATGCAGGCCTAGAGCAGACATTAGATCCTGTGTGTGCAATGTATGGTATGTAGTGTGCAGCATGTATGGTGTACAGAAAATGCAAAGCAAAAAGCATACAGTGTAAGAGCAAATGCAGAGAGTACAAGTGTTGAACAAAGCAAACGTATAAATGCTAAGCAAAGTAACGAAAAGGGGAAACTAGGTTGTGTACCTCCCAACCTCGCCAGTAACCGCCGATCAACCTCCCACACATTCGAGAGGTGGAGCTCATGTATCCATAAAGAGTGGTGAGGTCGGCCATGCCCCAATCGTAGAAACAGACTCCCTGGAGTACCACCAGAGCGCCCAAGAAGTAAAAACCCACAGTATTCCACCCGTTCGAAAACAAGGTGGTACCAAAAAGGAACAAGAGGAAGCCCCTGGCGTACTGCTCTACCTCCTCATCAGTATCGGGATCCTCCCCTCTGTAGTGCGCCTCGAACCAAGTGTATGTAAGCATGCCTGCTCGAAGAGTAGGTTGACGTGCTCCAAGCAATGTGTCCCACGCAGCCACCCATTCCCCCATGTCGGCATCAAGGGGAATCGGATCACCTACTACGCCCAGGCCAGTGATCATGGCGAAGTCAACAAGATTCATGGTCATCTCTCCCGCCGTGGAGAAGTGGAAAGAGTTGGTGGTGTCGCACCACCTTTCCACAAGAGCCCCTAGGAGAGTGCGACTAGCTGTAACCCGCGTCAAGCTGTAGCAAAATACGCCAAAGCCGGTCCCGTCGATGATCCGGCAGACCCTCGAGGGAAGCACATCATACCAATCCCAAGCGGCCATAGCGCCATAACCCCTGAAGGACCGGGATCCATCTTGCGACAGTAAATACAGGTCACGTCAGATCAGCGATGTATTGAAAATACGGTTCAAGACAGATCAGCGATGTATTGAAAATGCAGTTCAGATCAGATCGGTGATGTATTGAAAATACAGTTGCGTGCAAATCAGTGGTGTATCGAAGATACAGTTGAATTCAGAATAATGACGCCTAAGGTGCGCTCGTGTATAGTACATACAGGGCGGTAATGTGTGAAGTACAGTTAAGTGCAGATCAGCAATGTATGAAATACAGTTAGATCAAAGCATGTGATGTGATCAGATCGAAACAATGCAAGAAATGTAGATAGTTGAAAGTAATACTGCAGAAGGGGAGAGTTGGTACCTCCACAGCGATGGCCGACAAATAAGACATCGGCTCCCTCAGTAAGATGTCGTCTGGTGCATCCTCATCAAAATCAGTGAAGGTGCGAATGCCTCCCTCCATCGGTATGATATAAGTCTCCGGGTGATACCTCGCGGGGTAGATGGGACGTGTGCTCAATGGTAAAGGCTGAGGCTCGACCTCTGGCTCAGCCGCAAAGTCTGCCGCCAACTCTACTGGAGGGAGTGCGGGGAAGCCCTCATCATGTGGGACATCGTCAGCCATCTGAAATAGATGCAAAAACAAGGAAAAACGAGCAAAAATGAGCAAAATGGTGAGGATTTGAATGAATCAAACCCTAAGAGAGAAAACCTCAAGAAAAATTGAAAACTCGGGGAAATTGAACTAACCTCGAGAGAAGTTCGGGGGAAATGATCCTTGAATGGGGGAAATCATGAAAGGCACCTCATATTCAATTTCTGATCGGTTCAAATCGAAGAAAACCAAGAGGTTTTAACGATTCAAGATTATTTAGGGTGTTAGGAAATGCGTAGAATGCGCGAATCTAGAGAGAAGGCACACCTAGAGGGCAAGGGAAATGATTTTTATGCAAGGGTTTGTGAGGAAATGGGTTAATTTTGGGCTTATTTAAAGACGTATGGCCGAAAAGACCATTTTGTCCGAATCTGCCACCGATGGCCGGCAGGGGCACATCGATGGCCAGCACAACTCTATTGATGGCTAGCAGTGGCCAATGATAGCCGGCAGCTGTCGGTGGCTCTCCTTGATGGCCAGCAGTCCTCCACCAGCTTTCTCTGCCTATTTGATCTTGGTATGTATCCCTGGGTTCCAACAATCCCGAGGAATGCTCAAGATTTGATTCAAAACGCCTCCGTGGAAACCCAGGAATCATGTCCTCAATGTACGATGGTCGTCGCCCATCAACGCACACAAGGTGTATCCTTTTTGACGCATCACAAACTTTTCGGGAAGTAAACCGGAAGTCCCCTTTCAAGATGTCTTCATTAAGCATGTTATTTTTTGTTGTTGTTGCTACTTGGCATTTGCTTATTAAATTAAACACCCATTCTTTATATTTGCATTTTCTTGCATCTAGTTTAATTTGCATTGTCTTGCATCTAGCCTAATTTGCATTGTCTTGCATCTAATTTAACTTGCATTGTCTTGCATCTAGTTTAACTTGCATTGTCTTGCATCTAGTCTAATTTGCATTGTCTTGCATCTAGTTTAACTTGCATTGTCTTGCATCTAGTTTAATTTGCATTGTCTTGCATCTAGTTTAATTTCCATTGTCTTGCATCTAGTTTATATTTGCATTGTCTTCCATCTAGTTTAATTTGCATTGTCTTGCATCTAGTTTAATTTGCATTGTCTTGCATCCAGTTTAAACCTGCATTATTTTGCATCTCATCAAATCTACATTGTTTTGCATCTAGCATTACTTCTTTTCTTAACTTGCGCTGTTACGCAGGTTATGTGTGCTGTTACGCACTTGTTGTCTTAACTTGCGCTATTGCTCAGGTTATGTGCGTTGTTACGCAGGTTATGTGTGCTGTTACGCACTTATTATCTTAACTTGCGCTGTTACGCAGGTTATGTGCACTGTTACGCAGGTTATGTACGCTGTTATGCACTTCTTTTTTAACTGGCGTTGTTACGCAGGTTATGTGCGCTGTTACGCGCTTCTTTTTTAACTGGTGTTGTTACGCAGGTTATGTACGCTGTTACGCACTCATTATCGTAACTCGCGCTGTTACGCAGGTTATGTGCACTGTTACGCACTTCTTATCATAACTTGCGCTGTTACGCAGGTTATGTGAGCTGTTATGCATTTCTTATCTTAACTTGCGCTGTTACGCAGATTATGTGCGCTATTACGCACTTCTTTTTTAACTTGCGCTGTTACACAAGTTATATGTGCTGTTACGCAGTTATTATCTTAACTTGCTATAGACGTGCCCCGCGTAAGGGCCTCGGTGCTACTGTTCGGACTCGATTTCCATCACAGTTCTTAATCTGAACCAAAGAATCCAAATCCGGCAAATCGTTTTGGAAAATAGATTTTTAGAAAAGAAGTGACAAACATGGACCGCTTTGCCAGATACAGAGTCGCCACCTAAATATTTTATTTTGGGGGAATTTAGGAAACCCTAACTCGTTTGCCTAAGGCCACGTGTCCGTCATCGCCAAAGTTGCCTCGGCTCGGGAACTTGGGTACGATTGGGGAAGGTCAGCTATGAGCACCCCCTCTCGCCCGATCAAAGATCGGCCTCTACTAGCCATGATATCTAGTTTTTGAAGACATTACGCGTTCTTATTCCGATTATTAGCCTAGATTTACTATGTAATACGCGCAGCATACAAGTATAGACTGAATCGCCTGGATTGGAACAAAACATTTCATGTTTGTTTTTGAAAGCGGTTTGCTACTCGTGAGTAGGCTAAAAAAAAATGCAGGTTTTGCCACCTTCAGGTGGGCTTAGAAAAGATGGTTTTACCACTATCTAGTGGGCTTAAAATTCGCAGTTTTAATGCATTATTCCAATTTAGGTAATTCAACCTCCATCCACTGGCATTCAGACAGTTATGTCACATAAGAAAATAGCCTCATGGTAAGCATGCTGTCATGGCAACACTCACACGCATGCAAGGATGCTAAAGCATAAGGACTTACCGAGTACTCCGAGCCAAAATAGAAACTAGTTAGCAATCATATGCAAGATCCTAGTTCATGTTAAAATGGCTAATGCAACACATGCAAAATGCAACTAAGATAGGCTCAGCTAATCTACAATGGCATGTGAAATGCTACAACTAACACGTATTCAATTTGGATTTGAAATACAAATGCAGTTAGAATGATTCGCCGAGCCCGGTGCATGCAAAACGAATGAATGGATGCAAACATGCTATCATACTGTATGCTAATTGAAACATGCCCAAGACTAACCATCGAAAGCTAGTAAATAAAAGGGAAGCAAGACGTGGGGTTGAGAGACATCCACACACTCACGCACACTTATTACACAATTGCCCTCACTCGGAGGGTCTGAATAAATATTACACAACCAAATGACTACCGCTAAATTAATTATTACAGAATTCCTAACTAATTAACCAATTAAATGCAGAAGGAAGGTGGCCACAGCCCTACCTCGGGATGTGTGAATGATGCATGCTTGACTCGTCTTGCCCGGAAACTCGTTGCCATAGCACTGCTGCCCGTGTTCTCACTGCCACCCGTGTTTTCACTACCTTGCTCCTCTGAAAATTCTGAAAGTCTCCAGACCCCTTTTGAATCATCCTCTGAGTGCTCTAGGATGTCACCGGCCAGAATTAAAGCTCACCGGCCAGTGTAATGGGCTTATCGGCCAACTGTTGTACCACCGGCCAGACACTGACGGTCGGTCGGCATTGTAGGTGGCCGGCCGGCCATTTCTTCTTGCAAAATCTTGCAGTTGATAGCAGCAGAGGGCAAGTAGTGTATGGCATGGAATTTTCAAGCAAATGTGAGCATGGCCACACTCCCTATCATGCAATGGACTCAAGGGAGCATGGCCCTCGACCCTCGGGCCATCAACTATGTAATTCGATGCATGATTGCCTAAGAAGCCAAGTTAGCAACTCAATGTAGATGCATGCAACAAACAAATGAGTGCTAACACCCTATCATGTTGAGATTAAGGGTATTGGCGACCGAGGGTTGAGACGTGTTTCGCCACTTCGGGTACGAACACACCTCTCCCCTCATGCTTGGTTTGACACCACAAACTAAGCGATGCAATGCATGTATGCCATATACAATGCAAAGTGATGCAACTCATGTAAGGCTACACTAATGCAATATGAACATGTCAAGCATACAATAAGACTATATAATGCAACTTAGCTAAGTAACATGCAAACATGATGCAATATAAGCATGCAATCAATGCAATGCAACATGTGAAACATGCAAAGTATGCAAGGATAGACTTATACTGAGATGAGAAGGCCTCAGCCCAACCCAAAACAATGGCCAAAAATGCCCAAAATGGAGATGCCAACATGAAAAACAAATATGCAAACCAAAGGGCCTAAAGCTAAGGCATGGAAGTCAATTTTCAAGAGCACCCAAACAAGGGTAAGCATGGATATCAAGAACTACAAAATTGGAGATATGGTATGGTAGAATAAGCCCCAAAACCCACATAAATGGCATCCCAAATGACTCAAGCAAAGAGGCATACACCAAAGCCAAAACATGGAACATAAGACTACACCTCTTTAAGGCATTGAAAGGAGAACAAATCCAAGTATGCAAGCATCAAACATGGACTGAAATGGCATGGAAAATGATTCCAAATCACTGAAAATAGACCAAATGAGGCATGCTTATGGCTTATATACTCAAGGCTCACAAGCCAAAACACATGGAAACTATACCAAACATGACAAACATGGTCAAATCAGCACCCAACAGTCCTTGAGCATGGCAAAATAATGCTAGAACCTTTATGAAGTTAAGCTAGAACATGCTAGCATCATAGCCTAAATGCAAGGCACATTTCTAGGCAAAATGGGGAATGCAAGACAAGTACAATATGCATGCAAAGGGCCATAAATCCGACCAAAGACA